CCGTCACACCCGGGATGGGCTATAGGATGTGAAAGGTTAACCAGTTAACACTTACTAGTTCTGGTTAACCATAGGAACTGGAGCAGCCTCCCGCCCACCCTGGGCAGGGGGCTGCTCCAGCCCCACCAGGCTCACCGCAGGCAGGCAACCCCTGTACGTGGCAGGCATGACCTGGGTTTACACCCCTCCCGCCCAGGGTTCCGCACCTGCAGCAGAGAAGCTGCCTCCTGGCAGGAGCTTACAGCCTGGCTCCCAGGGCAGCGTGGCTTCCGGCTCTGCCGTCTAAAGCTTATTTTCAGTGGGCACACGGTCTGCTCCAGCCCCACCAGGCTCACCGCAGGCAGGCAACCCCTGTACGTGGCAGGCATGACCTGGGTTTACACCCCTCCCGCCCAGGGTTCCGCACCTGCAGCAGAGAAGCTGCCTCCTGGCAGGAGCTTACAGCCTGGCTCCCAGGGCAGCGTGGCTTCCGGCTCTGCCGTCTAAAGCTTATTTTCAGTGGGCACACGGTTACCTTTGTAATCGACTTTTCACGTCCCTAGTGGGCAACCTGCGGCTCGCGAGCGGCACACGGCCCATCGGGGTCCAGGAGACAATTTATTTACTGTTGCTCACGGGTAGGGTTGCCAGATTCCCCTGGTTTCTTTCCGCCTATTTTTTTTCCCCTGCCAGCGTTACTAACGCGCGTCAAGCCATGGCATGGGAAGTGAGGGGCAGGCCGATTGCACACTGCATTGATTGGGAGAGTCAGGAGCTCCCTCTGCCAATCGGCACCGCCCGCAACCTCTAGGTACTCGAGCGCAATGAGCGAAACGACCCTACCCCGGGAGACCGTCGTGGTTACAACGATCTTGCGGCCGTCTAAGACGAAGGAAGGCCGCCCACGAGGCCCACACGCGAGCCCAGCGCCTGCGTTATACCCGCAGATCTCTTATTTGAAAGGCTTACACGGGCAAACCGAAGGGCTCGCTCCAGCGAGACGGGCAGCAAGGCACCTTTCTGCACTACACACAGCCCTGCCCCAACCTAGAGTCACCCTGGCTATCCCAGCTCTCGGATCTCTTCCCCCGCCCACCGAGATCAGCTCGGCAGAGGCTGACGATCAAGTCAAATCGCCTCAAAATGAATCGCACTGAAGGATTAGATGAAACCTCACAAACCCATTTAAGCAAAGATTGAAACCCGATTTAAATCCATGGGCTTCTCTAAAAGTCTACTGTGCACCTCCCCCCGCTTGTCATATTTAATATTCCTGGGTCGTCCTGGCACCGAAACAGGGATTTATCAGCCTGTCGCTGCAGTCTGATGGATGATCAACGCGCTCCCAGTTCTGATCAAACGCATGAGGATTTTGTAGTCAAAAGCAGCTGACCTTGGGTTTTTTCAGTGACGCACTTTTAGCATTTGGGATGTGAAAAGAATCCATGGTACAAAGCCAGGTATTTTTGGTCTCTATTGGCTCTTGAAGCAGTCTGCACATCTGACTTAACCTGCAGCCAGAACATTTCAGATCACATTTATTCCTAGCTAAACGTTAACAGTAACGGCAGTTGGAGTACATAAGTTCTACTTACCCAGCCTTTAATAGAAAACCCCAGGTGCCTATTTACTTCCTTCTCGTGTTCACCACGTCCTCATTCCCTTTTTCCCCACGTTTCCAGAGGTTAAGAAGCCAAATAGCATCTTTGTACTTTTCGGCGTCTGTCTCCAAACCGAACGAAGCCCGGAATGGAAACCCAACCCACTATACCAAGTGGCATCAGTATCCCTTCAGTTTTAACTGCAACACCCTGTGCTGCCTGGCTGCGGTAGAACCTCCCTTCTGCCCACAGACAGTAAGACCCACACTTACAAGCTGCATTCACCCGCCCACAGACAGTAAGAGCACGCCAGACCCACACTTACAAGCTGCATTCACCTTCCGCTGAAAACCAGGGACTCAGTCCTACACCATGGGAGTGGCAAATTCCTACACCAGAAATGGGAGTAGGATCCAGACCTTTGGGTCTAACTCTAAGTGAGATCTGTGGCTGATTGTAACCTCTCGGGATCAGGCCCTATATCCGGAGCAGGAAACCAAGGTGCTGCACAGGGTCTCCTGCAGAGCAGGACGTGGGAGTACAGATCAGCTGGCTTGCTGCGAGAGGATAGCGCGCACTCTGCTTTTAGAAGCTGGCTGCTCCCTCCGGAGCTCCCAGCACTCACCTTGAAATATGATTTTCGTCCTGTCCAACGGGGCGACTGCGGTTTTTGCAACAGCACCAGCCAACGCGCCAGCCATCAGGTTGTTGATCACTTTCTTTTTCTCTTGGCTCCCCTAGGGAAAAAACAAAAAAAGCAGGTATTGTCTTCCATAGCTCAGTGCCTATGTAAATGGCTCCCCGCTCCTTGTTCCGGTGCTAACCCAGCAGGGGCCGGACTCACGAGCCCTTTGCTGCGTTTTTAATTCAAAGCCTTCAGCCCCAGACAACTCGGAGGGAAGGCTAGATCCCAGCCCCTCCCCTTCCTTTTCAGGCCCCTCCTCTTCCAGGGGTGGAGCTGGCCCGTGACCGCGTACCGACATTCGTGAAGTGGCCTCCCTGCGAAAATGATTGCCCACCCCTGGCCTTCCCTGCAGAGTCTGGGCTCGGAGATATGGGAATCGAGGCGAGCCAAACTGGATGCAGCTGTTCCTGCTGTTAAGCAACATGCAAGTCAAAGCCGTGTAGCTGTGTCCATGTTGCTGCTGCATGAACCCAGAAAACCCCGGCACCTCTCTCCCAAGGCTCTTTGTGTTGCACTGAGCTGTCATTTGAATGGTCTCCTGGTGCATGGTGGGAGAATGGATCTGTCTTTCCTAACTCCTGGAGGACTATAGGCACCGGAACTCTGGAACCCAGGTTCTAATCTGCATCCTTCCTGCAAAGCAGATTCAAGTGAGGTCCTATGGGAGAATGGATCTGTCTTTCCTAACCCCTGGAGGACTATAGGCACCGGAACTCAGGAACCCAGGTTCTAATCTGCATCCATCCTGCAAAGCAGATTCAAGTGAGGTCCTGGTTCTAGTCTATCTACTCACCCAGGTAAGGAAGCCTAGATTCAAAGCACATCTAAACCCAGCTGAAAGCTGTGTGGATGGACAAGGGTGGCAGCCGGCACATTACAGCTAAAACCCAGGCACAGTGAGGAACATCCATACAGCTGTCTTGGGGGGGTCTCGCGGGAACGTTTGCTTAACCGGCATTGCAACATGCAGGAAACAGCAACTGGCCGTTCTCTGCCCCTTCATCTCTCTGGTTAAAGCCTTTAATCAACAAGGATTGGGTTCCTAATCTTTTTGATACTGGGGACCAGTAAACCCATTCACAAGCTTTTTGGAGGACCGGTAACATTTATTTGCATATTCATTAAGCAAATGATGAATATGCAAATAAATTGTCACTGGCCCTACCTGTCCAGCGGGTTATTCTGGCGCCCCCCTCCTGGCCCCAATCCAGGCTGCTTTATCGGCCGGCACTGGCTCCCTCGGCTGTATCTGGCGCTGGGCATTCTGCGTCGGTGCGCACGGCACCCAGCCTTTTCCCTGGGTCCTAGCGCCCGCCGAATCTAGCCCCGCCACCCGGGAACATGCCCAACAGAGATGCCGCGGCAGCGGGCTCTCTGCCAAGAGGGCCGTGCCGCCGTGCTCGGCACTGCTACCCCGTCACGCAAATTAATAGGATCATGCCCGATAATTTTTCTAAGGACCAGTACTGGGCCGTGGACCACAGTTTGGGAAACGCTGATTTAGGACAAATGGAAACCAACACCAACACCCCCCCCAAAATGCCACATCCTCCAAGGGAGCAAGTCAGCTCCGAGATGGCCCTCAAAGAACAAAAGATTCAACTTGTCCGGCAGAGTCCAAAGTTCCAAAGGCAACAATATTTCCCCTACACAGTGGCCTCTCGTTTCCCTGCTCAGGCCATCTGCTGATTTAAGCCATGTGCAGAAAGCAAGTTTCTTGTTTTATTTTAAACCTGCCCTTCTAGGGACACCCCGGCCTTATTGCAAACTGGCCTCGGCATCGTAGAAGAGTCAGGCCAGACAGGTCACTGCAATGCAGCTGGCTTGGTGTCTTACATGCCTGCCAGGTTTCAGATTTCGAGCACAGCTTGCTGCCCACCTGACACGTGCAGAACACAAGCGAAAGAGGCTTACGCCTGACACACTGCAGGCAAACAGCCGGCAGAAAACCAGAGATTAGTCCAGCCTACCTTTGCTTTTAAAGACCCCTTTTACATGTGCGTGGCACCTACTGTATGTGAAGTGTTCTCAGGTGGATTGGCCCATCTCGGACCAAGCCCCTCAGTCACCTTAACTCTGTCCCCCTCCGCCAACGATCTTTAAAAAGCTACCTTATCAAAAATACAGCTCAGCTGGAGTCAGCTGGTGATCCCTGCCTGCCCCATTCAAAGCCAAACACAGGCAAAAGGTGCACCTCCACTCCGGCCCAAGAGCTGGACAAATATGGGGAAAAACAAGCCATATTACTTCTTGATGCAATACCTGAACCATTAACATCCCTAGTAGCTGGTAAACTGGTAAGCCTCACATAAAGAACATAAGAATGGCTAGACTGGGTCAGACCAAAGGTCCATCCAGCCCAGTATCTTGTCTTCCAACAGTGGCCAGTACCAGGTGCCCCAGAGGGAGTGAACACAACACGGAATCAACACGTGATCCCTCTCCTGTCATCCATTTCCCGACAAACAGAGGCTAGGGACACCATTCCTACCTACCCTGGCTAATAGCTATAGATAGGCCTAACCTCCACGAATTTCTCTCTTTTTTGAGCCCTGTCAAAGTCTTGGCCTTCACCACATCCTCTGGCGAGGAGTTCCACAGGTTGACTGTGCACTGCATGAAGAAAAACTTCCTTTTGTTTTAAACCGGCTACCTATTCATTTAATTTGGTGACCCCTAGTTCTTATATTATGAGAACAAGTCACTTTTCCTTATTCACTTTTTCCACACCAGTCATGATTCTACAGACCTCCTTAAAAACATATTACCCTTAACAGGTGAGGCTTACCAGTTATGGTTAACCAGTAGGGGTTGGAGCAGCCCCCCCATCCACCGTGAGCAGAGGGCTGCTTCAGCCCTGCAAGTCCCTCGTCTGCAGTGGGCACCCCAACCTGGCTGGAGCAGCCTGTCTGCAGCAGGGGCGGAGTGGGGGCTGGGAGAAGGAGGAGAGGCCCACTCCAGCCTGGCTGCGGCGGGCAGGGAGGGGGAGGCGTTCCTGCTTGGCCAGGCTGGATCGGCCCTTCCTACCCCTCATTTAATTGGTTCATTTTAACATTTAACCAGTTAACCAATTCTATGGGATTTGACATCCCTACCAGCCACGCACAGCCCTCTGCAGTTCTTTAAAGCAACCTGCCACAAGACTTCAGGAAGGGGTCGGCCCAGCGTGAATGGCAGCCCACAGATACAATTCCCAGGCGACGTGACTCACTCTGGCTCCCTCTCTCCGCCCGCCCAGAGCAATACTGACTCCAGATTGAGCTCCAGCCCAGCCAAGGATAAACCAGGCCAATAAAGAGCCTTTGGAAGAGATGGAGTGAGAGCAGCTGAGGGAACCATTTCAACAGTTCAGTGCCGTGCCAAGTGGTATGGAAGCATATCAGGAGAGCTTGGCTGTAACAGTCAGGGAGCGTTTCCAACCATAGCCTGCGAGAGTCCCAGCTAAGGAAGAGTTGGCAAAACTTGACATGGCTTGCTTTAAAACGCCGCTCACTAGCGCCAGCCTATGCAGAGATTAACCCAGGGAGGGCAGGAGCAGATAGCTACTCTCAGCCCTGGCTCAATCTCCGAGAGTCCCTTTTGTTGCTTTTCTACCAGTTCCTTAGAACTGCATCGGGGGAAAAAATACAGGTTACTGACACTCTCTTGCTTCCCCATTGGATTTTCCCGATGCCAGCCGGAGACAAACTCATACACACCAGGAAGTTTGCTTCACTCTTCCCCAGATTATTATTATCACAAAAAGAGAGGGTCTTGTGAATTTACTCTGCCCCTTTGGCACCACAAGCTTAGCAGAACACAAGGAGGGCATTGGGAAGCACGTGGTTTGACCTTCACGTGGATTTTAAACCCCATGGAGTCTGTTCAGATTAGGTCCTATTCAGCACTTGAAATACTTTCCCTGTTTTTACAACAGCAGCTTGAGAGCTCCCGATGCCGCACAGCAAACACGCTGATCTACGGCACAGAGGGGCAGCCGTGTTAGTCTCGATCTGCAAAAACGAGGAGCCCTTGGATTGAGGAATCTAGATTTAGGAATCTAGTTATTAGAACAAAGGCAGGAAACCAAGCTCCGGGGGCAACAATTTTCGCAGGTGGGCTACTTAATGAATTTTGGTACGTGGTCACGAACCAGCTCCAGTCCCTGCCCCCCAGAAGAGGTGGGGCCTGGAGAAAAAGGGGTGGGGCTAGGGACTAGCCTCTCAGAGTTGTCTAGGACCAGAGGCTTTGAATTCAAAACACAGCACAGGGCTTGCGCTCTGGCCCCGGCCAGGATAACACCGTGACAGGGAGCTATTGAAATTGGCTCAGGCAGCCTGAGCCACCGCCTGGAAATTCGGTGGCACCGACAGCAGGAGATAGACAGAAACAGTCAGAAGCAGTCCGCAGGCCAGATTAAAGCGGTAGACAGGCCGAATCCGGTCCCTGGGCCGCATCTTGCTCAGCCCTGTCCTATTCCCAGCTCAGCAACCAAATGGACAACCTGGCACACAGACCAAATTTGCTGCAGCTCAGGGGGGTGCCCTTCTACCACCCACAGGGTGGGCAGGAGACTTGACTGAGGTCTGTGAAATGCTTTGAAATCTCCCAGAAAAGCCACCGTTGTGCGGGAGAGAACTTGTGAGCCCTGCTGCCGGTACCGGAGGGCTCCCCACGTCAGATGGCGTTCGGTTTTCCTTCCAGGAGCAGAGGCCAGCCAAACGGGATCTCCCCACCTCCCGTGCGGATCCCTCACCTCCCGCCCTCCCCATAAACGCCCCGCTCTCACCTCAGACATAACATGGGCGGGTACGATTGGCTCCACGCCATTCTGTTTTAAACGCACTTGACCTTCCTTCGCACCATTACCCATACCAGTCGGGCTGACTAGGCAGAGGAGTGGAGGCTCCTAGAGTTTAAAACGATACAAAAAACCAAAGCGCTGGTTCAGTGAGTGTAGCCACGGACGCTTGGGTATTGCTGCCAGCTTACAGTGGAGCACACGGCACCATCTACACTGGAGGCCACCGCCGACTGGCAAACCCCCATCTTACATCTCTGGTTTCAGAGTCCCGCGGGAAGTTTCCAACTCTGTTCCCCACCCCCCAAGCCAGCTTCCGCTCAGCAGCTGATTTCTAGCGTTCCCTTCTCGGTGCGCATTCCCTGTCGTTCATTCTTGTCACATTCTTCCCCCATCGGGCTGGAAAACGTGGATTTCACTTTGGGAATCTGATTCCTTATTACGTTCCCTGTCGTTCAAAGTCATTCTTGTCACATTCTTCCCCCGTCGGGCTGGAAAACGTGGATTTCACTTTGGGAATCTGATTCCTTATTTCCTGTGCCGTTACTGATGCGTGTGGCTCCTGCGGATGCCACAGCCAGCCTAACACAGGGGTGGGGAACCTATTGTGGGACTGGGGCTGCTGACCCACAGAAAAACCAGTCAGGGGCCGCACAGAAGTGCCCCCTGCCTGAGGAGAAAGAGAAAGACATTCCCTCCCCACATTCCCCTCGCACACCAGAGCGGGGGGGGATCCAGCCTAGCAGATTTTGTGTGCTCCAATCCTGTGGTGGGATGGATGGGGCGAGGGGGGATGGAGTACCAGCTTGGGCTCTCCAATTATGAGGGGGGGCTGAGCTTTGGGGGCTGGATCCAGGCAAGCCAGGGGCCACATCCGGGCCTTGGGCCTTCAGTTCCCCACCCTTGGTGTGATAGATCCGTGCTCCAAGAGCATCAAGTTGACTTAGTGGAAATAGATGACAACTGCATCTTTCTTCCTTAATGTTTTAATGGGAGGAGGAAGAGCGATTGTTCCTGTGCTTGCCAACAGTTACATAGAATTAAGACTCCAACCGGTACTAGGGATGTAAGTGACTAGTCAATTATCTGATAAGCAAATGCTTGACTAGTCACCTTCTCCTGACTGCTGCCTCTATCGGGGGCGGAGGGGGAGAAGAGAAGAGAAGCAGGAGCTGGTGCTGGGGGTAGCCAGCTTAAAAGCCAGCTCCCCCCCAGCACCATCTCCATGGGGAGCAGGGAAGGCAGAGGCGTAGCAGGGGACCAAGGCGCAAACCAGAAATCAGCTGTCTCAGCTCACGCCTAGTCCCTGCATTGTGCTTTAGCCTTTTAAACGTATTAAGAGCCAAGTGGCTCTTAAAAACATTTAAAAGGCAGAGCCGCAGCAGGGTTAGCTCCCAGGGCTGGGAGCTAACCCCACTGCAGCTCTCCAGTCCCCTGCCTTAGCAATTAATTGATGGAAATTCTACTGACCAATCGATTAGCTGATTAAACGCCGTTTAACATCCTTAACGGGTATGGAAGGTTCTAAAAGGACAAATTCCTAGGAAGAGGCACTGCAGCATTTCAACTGTTCTAAGAACAAAGACAGAGCAAAAAGAGTGCAAAATGAGATTTCTATATTTATTCTTTGCATTTATTTTTGTCTTTGTTACCAGCTGGCATGTCTTTCATTGACATCCTATTAATTTTTTCTATTCTACTTCTTCCCACAAAGGATTATGGTAGTAAATTGTATGACCCTTGTTAAGGAGTTTTTAAAATCCCTTCTAGAGGAGAGACGACTTCTGCTGTGCTACTTCTAATGCCAGAGCTCTGGCAGACAAGCTGAAAAGGCCTCAGCTGGAGTACTGTGTTAGGCCTCAGCTGGAGTACTGTGTCCAGTTCTGGGCGCCACATTTCAAGAAAGATGTGGAGAAATTGGAAAGGGTACAGAGAAGAGCGACAAGAATGATTAAAGGTCTAGAGAACATGACCTATGAAGCCAGGCTTCATGAACTGGGCTTGTTTAGTTTGGAAAAAAGAAGATTAAGAGGGGACATGATAGCGGTTTTCAAATATCTAAAAGGGTGTCACAAGGAAGAAAGAGAAAAATTGTTCCTCTTGGTTTCTGAGGACAGGACAAGGAGTAATGGGCTTAAAGTGCAGCAAGGGAGGTTTAGATTGGACATTAGGAAAAAATTCCTAACTGTCAGGGTGGTCAAATATTGGAATAAATTGCCAAGGGAGGTGGTGGAATCTCCCTCTCTGGAGATATTTAAGAACAGGTTAGATAGACATCTGTCAGGGATGGTGTAGACGGAGCTTGATCCTGCCTTGAATCATTTCCAGGAGCTAAGAATTTGATTGTCGACTGCTTTATCGTTTGCAATGAAGCATCCAAGTTGCCAATCAGTCTCAGCGTCTCGATCCCATTGGGCAAGGCGCATAGAAATGCAAGACCGATGCATGGAAAATGGCAGGGGAGCTGTCACAGGAATACCTAAAGGAAGTCTGGCATGAGCAGTCAGGGGCTATTTTAGGAAACTGATTGATCCAATGCATCATATCTGCCCGAGAGAGATTCTGACCATACCAATTATTTGCACGTATAATTATAACACATACGTGTCTCCAAACTTTCACTTATTCATACTCATTTCAAGCATGCCTACTTTGCAGCTCATTTAACAGTTTACTTAGCAGGCGCGCTCACTTAGAGATGTGCTCTCCACGTGTCTCATGAAGGGATGGGTCACCCAAACCGAAGACCTGAAACACGAAACAAATGGTCATTTCAATTCCTCATCTCAATCTCAGCTCTTACACTTGGCATTTTATATCGTCTCCCCGATGAAAGAAGTTAAAGGTTACTAGGGGCTGCGCTCCCTGCTCGCTATGCTCGCCAACCCCCCTCTCTCTGGGGATAGGTGTCTGGCCAGGGGGAAAGGGGCAGGAGCAGGCTGGGGAGAGGGTGCAAGAGCAGGGGAGGATGCAGGAGCAGTCTGGGTGTGGGTGTCTGGCCAGTGGGGAGGGGGAAGGAGCGAGCTGGGGATGTGGGGTCTCAGTGGAAGGGCTGAGGGGATTGAGGGGGGTACATCGGGCACAGAGGGGAACTGGTACAGCACAGCCTAGGGGAGGAGGTCAGGTGTGGAGGGGAACTGGCATGGCCCAGAAACTGGACTTTGCATTCCTGGGTCCCAGCCCTACCTGTGCCACACTCTCTGGGCAAATCGCTTCACCTCTGCCCTTGTTCTATACTGGGGTGGGCAGCCTAAGGCCTGGGGGCTAGATCCGGCCCCTGGCTTCCCTGGATCCAGCGCCCAAGGCTCAGGGCTCCTCTCCCCATCATTGGGGAGCCCACACTAGCACTCCAGCCGCCCCCTCCCCACACACACACCCATGGGGCTGAGGCACACAAAATCTACTAGCCTGGGCCCCCCAGGCTCTGGTGCACGAGGGGAATGTGGGGTGTGTCTTTCTGCTTCTCAATCAGGGGCCGCATCAGTGCGGGTTTGGTTTGTTTGGGCTTCTTGTTTGTGTGCAGCCCCCGACTGATTTTTCTGTGGGTCAGTGGCCCTTGACCCAAAAAAGGCTCCCTGCCCCTGCTCTATACATAGGGAAGCTGGAAGACCACAGCTTGTCCATTCGAGAAATCGATGCCTACGTTTGTTTTAGGAAAGGCACCCACGAAGCATTCGGATTGTGCTAGTTCATCACCTCGTGGCCATAAAATACTTCCAAAAATCCCTGCATCGCTGCAGCAACACAAACATAAAGTGAGACACGGAGGAGCTTTGTGACCACGAGTGACCGATGTACTATCGGGAAGCGACGCTGGACCCGTACGCTCACATCACAGGAAGACAAATGCTACAGCCCTGGGACGTTGCATCGTCCGGGGCTTACAACTCCCTGGAGCTGCTTTTTTCAAAGGAAAACTCTCAAGAGGCTGTCCAGAAGCAAAGGATTCAGAACGTGCATGAAAAGGCACGGCCCGAACAACACGCAACAGGAACCCTGGCATGGAAGAGAGTCTGGAAGGTTGTTTTTTAAACTGTGTGCACTGCGGAGAACAACAGAATTCAAAATGGAGAGCTTTTTTTTTCTCAATAGC